GGGTTTTAGCATTCAAAATTCGTGAAACAGAAAGACTTCAATCCTAATTACCGAAATTCGAAAGTCGAAGCATGCTTGATCTAGAAATCCCCAAGACATGAAACTTAGGCCTGCCCTTTTGAGCTTGCCTTCGTGAGACACCGAATCGCCTAAAGACACTGGGTTCATAAACTGAAGTCAGAGGTGTTCAGCTAGTGTTCAAGGTGCGAACCCCAAGAAAACTATCTTGGTAACTAGCAGGACCCTTGGTTTACCCCCTTAGCCGTGAATTCCGAAGCCTGGTAAACCGAAACCCTAAACCCTAAACTCTAAACTCTGATCAACGACAAAGATCAGTCAGCCTCCGCAGCTGGGGTCTCAGCAGCAGCTTCGGCATTTGCCTCGATGTGGGTAGTTCTCTGCAATAGGGTCCGTTTTAGGGTCCTTTTGTAAGGGTGTCAGCAGGGATCCTACTTTAGGAAGCTACCCATGTAGATGGCATCAACCTTCGCGAGGCCCCTCATACCCTCATGGGGTCACCAGTTCAAAGCGGCTATGGGCTGAGGATGGGAGTCGTGAGTTTACGAAGTCTAACATCGATCGAAAGTCTGCAGTTTAACTAGGATACCCAGTAACCTAAGAATAAAAGGCCTCTCTTTTTGCTATTGGGTAACTTTATAAGGAACCTAGGACTACAAAAAAGGAATAAGGGTACTACTGGGAATCCTAGCTGCTGCAAGTCTTCATACACATGCTACTTTGAAACAACTTTGTAAAACCGTTTACCTGAACTGCGGCGTGCGGCACACTTGGTAAGGGCATCATCGAAACTAGACGCCCGCAGTAGGACCAGTACTGACACTCAGTATAATACTGATATTCCGGCAATTTACCCGAGTCAACACAATCAGGAGAACAGTTGGAACAGCCATGGCAAGAAATTACCGACAGCAGTGCGAAGTCGCACAAGTCATGCTAGGGTATCTATCTGCTACCAGCACCGAAATTAACCACAATAGCATGGCAAATTACAGAATGTCCAACGAGTTTATGTACCAGAGCTTAACGAGAAGGGAGTGTAGCAGTACAAATGCAAAGTTAACTCGCGATAGTGTTGGGCACCCAGTGAAAGCACGTCACATCTATCACACACGTCACTCGGCATGCAAAACCTCCCCTCTTCGTGCAACAACCGTCGAGTCACGCCCGATCCTGTGCTTCCCCTTCGACAAGGTTCGGAAAGGAATCTTCGATGACAAGAAACCTTTCCAAGCGGAGTCGTTCTACTAGGTCAGTGTTATCTTTATCCGATAAAGAAACTGTACACTATCCCCCAAAACCCTACTCAAATTAAAAAGCCCCTACACTAACTGGAAAAGGCCGTTGTATGTGAACCCCCAAAGTGTGCGGCGTCTGCAGCCGGAAGAAGAGCAGCTGGAGCCTCCCGAGAGCTAATTTTTTTGATCGAAGAAAGAGGTTCCGGGTTGAGGGGGTTAAATTTTAATTAGGGTATATGTATGTATATATATATATATATATATGTATGTATATATATATATATATATATATATATATATATATTTATACACATGTAAACATATATACATGTGTTTATGTATTTATGTATGCTTGTATGTGTGAATATATATATATATATATATATATACACAGGTATATCCAGTATCGATGCAGTTCCAGACAACAAGGGGCCCAAGAGCTGACCGAAATTACGAAGGTTCCTTCAGGATTGACACATCCACTCGGAGACAGCGACGCCCGATGAATGCAAGGATTGCTAGAAAAGACATTCGACCCTAAACCCAAAAGCGTTGAACCCTAGAGTCCTACAGTACCCTTTCAGGGGACCTATCACAGAACCCTACAGTAATAAACCTGTAAGGGGATCCCTATTAAACCCTCTCTCTCTCTCTCTCTCTCTCTATATATATATACATATGTTAAATATATGCAGAGAGAGAGAGAGAGAGAGAGAGAGAGAGAGAGAGAGAGAGAGAAAGAGAGAGTCCGTGATGGCAGCTTCGACGTGTTGAGGTTCGGCCCACGAGCTATTCGCCTAAGGGCTACCTTAACCCGAAAGAACCTACATTTTTATTAAGGACTTATATGGGAGATTCCGAAAATAGGGGACCCTCATCTAGTACCCTAAATAGTAAGATCCTTATTATGAGGATCCCAAGATGAGGGTACCCCTAATTTTCGGAAACTCCCATATAAGGAAAACACAATAAGGAACCCTAAAAAGGTAGGTTGTTCAGGATTAAGGTAGGGTTTAGAACTAAAGCAATACGTAGGGTTTACGGGGTGTCGGGTTTGTAATTTTAGGATTAGACTTCAGGGTTCAGGAGTGTCGGGTTCAGAGTCTAAGGATTAGACTTCAGGGTTTAGGGGTGTAGGGTTTAGGATTTAAGGATTAGGGTTAGGGCTTAGGGGTTTAGAATTTGACCCTAAGGGTCCAAGCACCTAATAATCATATACTCTCCGAAATACAAAGCTACATAACTACTACCCTAAAACCGAGTACCTAATTATTGGGTCCTTTGGACCTTTAGGGGAAGGATTATTACATTTTTGGGCTTCGTTATATGGAGTTTATATGGGATATCCCGTAGAAGGGGCCCCCACCCTGTAATAGTGACTATAAGGATTATATTAGGGCCCTATTATATTCCTATTATACTACTATTATAGGGTGGGGGCCCCTTCTAAGGGATATCCCTATCCTAATGTTTGCTTCTGTGCTTTTTTGTGGCCCAATTTAGGGAACTCCTGTGAGCCTCGACCTCGGCGGTCTCTCCCGTGGCCGCAGGCGTCTGCGCACACTCAGGGAGAGTGCGGGTAACCCCCCAAAAGCTCAGCTCAATTTGGGGGTTTAGCCCTCAACCCTAAACCCCAAAACCCCCCAAAGCTCCGCTCAATTTTGGGGTTTAGGATGGTGTTTTGTTTTTTTTCCAGGATGGTTTGGGGTGTATGGTTTAGGGTTTGCAATTTTGGTGCACCCTTGATTGCTAGTAAGAACTAGCTCGGGATTTTGGGACACGTTACGCTGTCAGTTGTGATGGGAAAAGATAAGCGATCGTTCGGGCTTGTATAGTCAGGCCAAGCTCTTGAGGCAAATACCCTCAAAGTCCATGTACTCATATAGTATATACATTGGCCTTAATGTAGTCCCTAGATAGGTACATTGGGCCCAAAGTATCTCTATATGGGCACATGGACCCTTAAGTAAGGAATAAAAAAAGTCGGCCAACAAAGCAAAGCATCAGACATGGATGGCCTTGTGGTTCCTGCAACTGGTGAATTACAATGGAGACTCTACATAGTTAGTAAGCGAGCATCGAAGCGACTGAATCCAAATCCCACACCCTAAACGTGACAGTCCTAGATTGCGCACCAAAGCCGTGAACAAAAGCCCGAACGTTAAACTGACACTTCAACCCCAAACTTAGTCAGCTATTCCGATCATTACAAAGCAGTCACATGCGGCCATCCTTGGGGATTAGGATTTAGGGAAGCCAGCACAAGATGAAAGAATCCATCACCCAGCAACTGCTCCAACCCACTTGATCCGTGAACCCTCAAACTGAAACCCCATTTACCCTAAGCCCTTAAGGCCCGGTAAACCCTACGAAACCTCCGCAAACAACATGCTGCATAAGTTTCGTGTCCTTCAGCATATTTCAACATGGGGACACTCAAAAAACACTGCCTTTTTTCAAGGATCCCCATGATACCGGCCCCTAAATAAGCTTATCCCGGCGGCTTGTATATAACAAGTATAGATCCTTGTGGTGCTGCAGAGGGTGAAATGAAATACTCTGGGACACCGTGTCTCTGCAGCTGACGATGGCCGCGACACGACGATATGGTGATGGCTGATACTCGCTGAGAGTGCTTGATGGGTGCGTATATGCTTTGGGGTTTATGGTTTGTGACATTGTTGAGGCAGCGAAATTAGACATAATGACGCCGCACACGAAGCTGAGAATGATGCCGTGCCCCGTCACTGGTAGGTACTTTAGAGTAGCAGTGTTTTGGGGCGCAGTATGCTATAGCTACAATAAGGAACCCCCAAAAATAGTATTGGTAATTATTTAAGCGCCTACACCCTACCTATAGTTTCCATTGTAGTTCCTTTTTTGGTTTAACCAGTTCTATATTAAGGATCCTAAAAGGTAACCCCAAAAAAGGAACAACAATGGAGACTATAGGTGAACCCTAAACCCTCTGTCTCGCCTCTGCAGGCTCCTCAGGTGCAGCGCTCGCCTGCTCTTTTTGCGGATCGAAGCTCAGCACCCGGATTCAAGCGTGTTGGTTCAGGGCTTGATGTTTAAGGGTTCCCAGGGTTGAAGGTTTAGGCTCTAAGAGTTCCCAGGGTTGAAGGTTTGAGGCTTAAAGGTGCAGGGTTGAGGGTTTAGGATCTAAGGCTTCCCAGGGTTCAAGGTTTGACGTTTAAGGGTTCAGGGTTCAGGCTCTAAGGGTTCAGGGTTGAGCGCTTTAGGGTTTATATAGTGGGTTGAGGGCTTCAAGGTTGAGGGTTCAAGGCGAAGGCTTAAGCAGGAACCAAGTGTTTTAGTGCAGGGTTTGCGGTTGCCCCTCGCGGGTTTGGGGTTTACAGTTTACGGTACCCACATGTTTGACATTTTTGAAACAATCAGCTTACACAACATAAGCTTATGAAATTTTTTGGCCTGTACAGATTGCAACCCCGGCCTTGTTTACTGCTCTTTTGGTCGTTCGGGACTCTTTAAGCCGTTGAGTGCCGGGACGGAGGGCCGGGCCGCACCAAGCCGGGCCTAAACGGTATCTATTGAATGGTGTTATTGAAATGGTGTATTACTGATTAGTGGTTTATTGGATGGTGTTTTATTGGATGTTAATTAATTGAATGTATATTGAATAGTATATTAAAAGTACCTTCCTAAATCAGAAAAGCTACAGCTTTTGCTCGACTGCTATCATTGTCAAAGTAGCTAAAGCTTTTCTTGCGAGTCTATGAATGGTTAATCGATTCCATTTTGTGTGATGATCGCTCCGGATTCGGGATACTCTTTTCGCTCCTCATTTTCTATATGGCTCCGAATTGGTGATCTCATGCCTTTGTTATTCTGGGAATGGCCCCGGGTCTGCGGCCAAGGACAATCTGGAAGTTGTGTTTGACCTTTCCCGGCCTGATGGCCTAGCCCCCTACTTGGAGGGTCGGGGGACTTAGCGACCATATCGGGTTCCTTAAGGGCCCCTTTAAAGGGATCTTTAGGGATTCTATAAGGGTATAGGGTTTAGGGTTTAGGGGACTTGGTAAATGGTTATTTTAGGGACTTATAAGTACCATAACCCCAATTAGGGTCCCTTTTAGGGTACTTATAAGTCTACCTCCAATATTCGACCACCCAGAGCTTCGGTATGGGAGTTTGGACAAAACCACAAAACAGTGACAACCACCCAACACCCAGATTCAGCAACAATGAGAAAGGATACGCAAATGACAAGCACACGGCTGTACACCCGAGACAGCAGAGCTCTAAACACTGATCGACCCCACGAACATCCAAACTTAAGACCACAAAACCTCCAAACACCAATTCCCCAACTCGATAAACGCGAGCCTTAACTTCTTTACCCCCCTCCGTGCACACCCTCATTCATGTACCCTGGATAAAAACAACAACTCCGGACTCCATACGTAACAAAAACCTGCCTTTAAGCCAAACCCCAAACCCGAAACATCGGAACCTGAGACCCCACCTATAGTCTCCATTGTAGTTCCTTTTTGGGGTTTCCTTTTCGGATCCTCAATATAAGATTGGTTAATCCAGAAAAAGGAACTACAATGGAGATTATTGGCAAACCCGAAACCCTAAAAAATAAACCCTCAATGATCGAAGCCCGAATCTTCGAGCACGAAACCACAGCCTACACCAAAACCCCTAAACCAGCCCTAACAACCCTATAGCCGTGACCCCAAGGCTTTCTAGAAAGCTTCATCTGAAGAAACATCCTTCTTCAATTAGTAAACCTTGCGGTAATACAGTAAATCCTACAAGAACCCGCGTGGTCACTCCCCAAACCCCTAAACCTTCAACCCTAAAGCCTGTTTAAAACCCCTAAACAGCACAGCCAGCTCCCCTCCTGGTTGATCGCTTCTACCGGCCCGGCCTAACACAAGGCAATGCAAAGGAGTTTAGAGTTTAGGGGTTTCGGAGTTCAAGGTTTCGGGGTTTCGGGTTTAGGATTTAGGTGTTTCGGAGTTTAGGGTTTCGGGGTTGAGGGTTTTGTGGTGTAGGCTTTGGGAGTTTTGGGTGTGAGGCTCTAGCACGTTCAGGGTCGGGGATGCAACAAAACTTGGCTGACTTCTGAACCCCTAAACCCCTAAACTCCGAAACCCTAAACCCCTAAACTCTTATTATAGTTCATCATAGAAACCCCCAAAAAATACAGTCCTGAGAGCGAACAAGAAGAACACCAAGAAAAAGCAGCCACAGGGGCCGAAACCCTGAACCCTGAACCCTAAACCCAAAGCCCTAAACCCCTAAACCCTAAACCCCAAATCCCTAAAAACCTGAACCCCTGAACCCTAGACCCTAAACCCTAAACCCCGAACCCTAAACCCCCTGAACCCCTAACCTGAACCCCTAAACTAGGAGGTGCCTTTAAAGCCTTTGAAAAATGTTACGTAGTAGGCAAGATCCTCTTAAGCCCAATAAGAGCAAATATAAACATGTCCCAAAGCCCTGCCTAGAAATCGAATTGTGTGAATTAGGTAAGATCCTCTTATAATATAAAATGTCCCAAAGCCCTACCTAGTCCGAGTTGTGTGAGAAATCCGGCGCCTCCTCTGCCGGAGCCGCGGCCTCGGCCGCCGGGGCTTCCTCCGCAGTCGGTGCAGCAGCCTGGGAGTGAACTCCATACCCAGAAGGGTCCAAAGTACTATACATGTATTATATATATACATATATATATATATATATATATATATTTCTAGTATATACTAAATACATACATATATATATATATATATATACATAGTAACTACCATTACTGCTATCATGATTATGCATATAGTTATATTTACATTTTCTAGTATATACTAACTATATATATATATATATATATATATATATATATATATATATATATATATACATAGTATCATTACCATTACTAAAAATAATTATGATGATTATAGTAGCGTGCAGGGCTTCTATGTTAGGAATCCCATTTTACGGTTTGGGAAAGTATCCCCTCATAACAGTACCTGGGACCCTTTGGGATTCTTCAGTTGCGACCAAAACCCTAAAGCCAAAAGCTCCGCAGACAGCACTCCTAACAGTTTCGCTTCGAACTACAATGGGCTTTCGGGGTCGTGCTTAGTGGGGGTGTTTCGGATGTTGGGTCTAGGGTTTACCCTAAGGCCCCATGGTAGTTCCTTTTGGGGGTGACCTCATTGGGTTCTACATATGAGCTCCAAAAAGGAACTACTATGGGGCCTATGGGTAAGATGAGGCAGTTTGCGTGTGCGTTGACGGCTAACGAATTTAGGGCTTGCTTACAGCCCTTGAGGCGCCTTTCGTCCATACTCCAACAGCAACAACAACTACCACTACCACTACCACTACCACCTGTACGACTACGACGACGACGACCACTACAAGTACCACTACAAGTACCACTACTACCACGACTACCACTACTCCTACTCCTACTCCTACGCCTACTCCTACTCCTACTCCCACTCCCACTCCCACTCCTACTCCTACTCCTTCTCCTACTACTGCTACTACTACTGCTACTACCACTACCACCACTACCACCACTACCACTACCACTACCACTACCCCTACCCCTACCACTACCACTACTACTACCACTACTACTACTGCTACTACTACTACTACTACTACAACAACTACTACTACTACTACTACTACTACTACTACTACTACTACTACTACTACTACTAGGACTAGGAAGCGTTACGACTAGGACTACGACCAGGACTGCGACTGTGCGACGACGACAACAACGACGACTACTACAACTTCAGCCCACCAACTCAACCCCTCCGCCGACTGCTACGACAATTCTGACTCCTACTTCTCCGACTCCTCCAAAATCACGCCTAACGATCTCGATGGTAAGAGCACCAGAAAAATCAAATCATCAGCCAGCGCCACTCCCTCCACAGTTTTCGCATCCTCTTCCTTCTTGGCTGCCTCAACATGCCCGGTGTCGAAAACGAGGGTTTAAGGGCTTGGAGCCTAGGGAGCTCGGGGTCTACAGGTTTGGTATTTGGGGCTTGGGGGTTACTTGCAGGATCATGGGACTTGGTAACTAGGGTTATGGTTAGGGTAACTATACTTATAGTCTTATAGCTACTTATAACCCCAGTTAAGGTACTTATAACCTTGCTTGCTAAGTCCCATGATCCTCCAAGTAGGGGTTGAGGTTGCGGATGGCGGGAGTGGGTGTCTAGTCTCCAGGTCTACCGCGTGGAGGCTCGCGGGTTTGAACATGCAAGCCTTTCTACGGTTAAGAGTCCATGTACTCATATAGTATATACATTGGCCTTAGTGTAGTCCCTATATGGGTGCTTTGGGGCTCATGTATCTCTATATGGGTACATGGACCCTTAGGGTACGGTTAAGGGTGCTGTCTACGGGGGCTTGGGCCTCAGCAGTCAAGCGGTTTATGCTTCCTGAACCAGCCTAGCTTCTCTCGACGAATTTCGGGTGTAAGGGGGCTTTGGGGGGGTCTCAAGCAGCTGCTGCACAGCACCAGGACTGGAGGAAGACGTTGCGAAGTACTTCTGCTCGACCTTCTGAGTGGGTGTGCAGCACTGCCCCATACGAGTTTGTGGCAGCGGGGCTCTCCCAAGCGCTGGCCACCTACAAGCACCTCAGGCGGGCACGGGAAACCGATGCTGGCACAGGCTCAGGGTTATTCTTCGATGCCTGCGAAAGCCATTTGGCAGCCGCCTTCGTTGCTGCGATGCTGGGAGCAGGTCCTGCTCGAACTTGTCTTCCATGACGCATGTCTCTGCGAAGTGCGCCATTTCAAGATTTGTCCGAGCCCGTGCATCACGACAGCATGCATCCGGGCGATCTGCTCTGTAACCTCAACATTTTTTTGTGTTTAAGCTTCGTTTTTATGTCCGTTGCGGGTTTAGGGATTAGGGTTTAGGGTTTGGGTCCGTCTCTGAGTGCCTCATCAGAGTAGTTTGAATTGGATTTGTGTGCTGCTTATCTGATTGTCGACCTCAGCAACATCCAACAAGGAAAGGGATCTGAGCTTTCCAGCGTTCGAAACCCTGCAGCCTCAAGCCCTTTAACCCAGAAACCTAAACTAAACACAGGAAAGTTGAAGAACTTGAGCCGCAAAAGCGTGCAAAATGGGACGAATGGGCCTCCGGTGCGGCGTTTTCCTCCGTCTTCGGTTCCTCCAAGATCAGAAGACGGGGGAGCTTGGGAGCAAGGGTATGGGGCGAAGCTAACAGCTTCGAGATTTTATTTCGCAACCCTTAACCCCACAGTAAACCCATAAAGTTGGGAAACCGGATTATGGCCAAATAGCACTGGGATTCCCTATACATTACTTTTCAGGGTTGAGGCTATTGGGTTTCCAACTTAGTCCAACTTTTGGGCTTCTACTGTAAAACTAAATTCCGGGAGCCCTACAGATCTTCGGATTCGGTGAGGGGGCCAGCACGTGGAGGATTTCGGGCTGTTATGACCGAATGTCCGTGAAAACACTAAGTTCAACACGTGCACAAGTAGATTTCGATTGCTGACCCTGTAGATGCATGAAATCTTGATATGCACTTTTGCGGCGAACGAGTGACTGGGCGCACCGGTGGATGCATTAATCAATGATTGGATGGATGAACTAGGGCCCCCCAAAATGCACATAAGCAACACTCAGGATAGGGATAACCCATATAAACCCCTTATAATGCAGCCCATTAAGGTAAAAGCCAGAAAGTTGGAATATGATTATCCTAACCCTTCTATGGTAAATTACAGGGTATCCTACCATGAAACCATATTCCAACTTTCTGGAGTTCCCTGTAAGGTAGGGATATCCCTATAAAATGCTTATGCTTATGTCCCTGTGGGGTCCCGAAAGACTGGATATCCATAAGAACTGACGCACGAACGAGCAAGGAGCGAGCCAGTGAGAGGCTTTGGGGTTTAGTGCTTAAGGGTTCAGGGTCTGGGGTTTAGGGTTTTAGGGTTTAGGGGTTTAGGGTTTAGGACCTGATTGCTGAATGAATGATTGACTGAAGCCGGCAACGAACTAATGAAGGAGGGAAGGAATGACACACATGAACTGACCCAGGAACTGTGACTGTGACAGCGAGATAAGAAACAAACAAGTGGATGCGTGTCAGTGTCTCTGTGCGTGTGTGTTCACACGTCATACTGCTTTTTGTTTGCACATAGCCTAGGAGGTGATGTTTAAGCCTTTGAAAAATGTTCGTAGGTAGGATCCTCTTAAGCACAATAAGAGCAAATACAACATGTCCCAAAGCCCTACCTAGTAGCTGTATGCGCCTGCTTTCCCGTATTTGTCTGTTGTTGATTATTCTCTGTGTGTGTGTGTGTTTGTGGAGGTGGGCAAGTAAGTGTGCCGTGAGTGAGTGAGTGAGTGAGTGATTGGGAGTGGGTGAGTGAGTGCGTGAGTCAGCTAGTACAGACGCAGACGTACATGAGGACACATATCTGCGGACTTACTTACATAATGGCTTACATACCGACAAGGCATTCCATCGCATACGTATGAAGCATATGCAAGTCTGTCAACACCAAAGAGCCTAAAACCTGGAACTCTGAACTATTCATGTAGCCCCAAACCCTGCCAAGCAGCAGCTTCTGACATATAGGAAATAGCAGGTCAAATGTTAAGCAACCGACAGGTGTTTGGTAGTTACATGATGACTTATGGGGCATTATAGGGTCAACAACAGGTTAATGTATACATAGAGGATACTAGGTAGTTGGGTGGTTGAAAGGAGAAAGTTAACCCCACACCCCGAGAAATGCCTATAGCCTCCACTGAAGTTTCATTTTTGGGGGGCTACCTTAAAGGATCCTAAATATGAAAGAAACCAAACAAGGAACTACAACGCATACAATCGGCAGGTGCTATGTATGAGCCGCCTCAGCCGCGGGCTTCGCTTCGCCAGAAGTCTCCTGATGACCGGAGGCAGGAAGGGTTCGGCAGGTCGAAGTGTTACAGCTTACGGTTAGGGATTTTGGGTTTAGGGTTTAGGATTTTGGGGTTGAGGGGATTGAGTTTGTCTTCAGGGGGGTTACTATGGCTGGCTTATGGATGTGCGGACCTTTGTTGTGGACTTCAGGGCTCTAGTTGAGCGCGTTTAGGCCTCGGCCTCAGCAGTTTGCTGGGTACTGGGCTCAGGACGTCGGGTTCGAGGCTCCATACCCTTTTCTATATGTACGTGTGTGTATACATATAATATATATATATATATGTATCATGCACACGAACATACCTATATACATCTATCCATCCATCCATCCATCCATCCATGCAGGCATGCATGCAGACATACAAACACAGATAGATAGGACCATAGATAGATAGGACCACAGATGCCGCAGATAGATAGATGGTAGATCGAGACATGGATAGATGAATAGGTGGATTGACAGGTAGATAGATTAGGCAGCGCATGTAGCTGTATCCTGCCCTGACTCTATCTATCTGTCTATCTACGTATCTGTCCAGCTTATCGAACGGTTACAATAACAAGGAAAAACTGATATGTCTCATCCTTGAGACCTATGTTGTAGCGACAGGGGTTTAGGATTCCGTGAGGATTTGGGGGCTCGGCATAATGCAGGGATTTTGTGGGGCTTGAGTCTAACATCACGTCGCATTTGCTGTGAAAGAAGGTTTACATTGGGAAGACGTTACCCATGGTCTCCATTGTATGGTTCCTCATTTGGTTTAAACAATTATACATGCATAGGTTCCTAAAAGGTAACCCCAAAAAAGGAACGACAATGGAGACTGTATACAGGTAGTGAATGTACGCAGCTACGGTTTCCTCAAAGCCCCCTTGGAAGATTGGTGCATGCATATTTTCGAGCATTACGGTGATTCTAATAGACATGGGTAGTTGTCAAAATTGTGGTCCCTTTTTGGGTCCTTAATATAATACGGCACCTAATATTTAGGGTACCCCCAAAGGGTCCAAGTACCCAAATAGCAAGGTTTTAGGTCCCAAAATCCATACTCTGGATGGTTCTTGGACCCTGCAGCCCTAGTATTTGGGACCCTTATAACACATGTTACGGGAAATCTGTCTGACACCCGTAATGGCCCATTTAACGCTAAGTGCATCTGGTCCGAGCCTTATCCAGCCTAAACCATCAACAAGTCGGCGAAAGAAACGACTGCAGCTAAACCACCCTGGGCACTGCATCGAGACACAAAAACACCTCTGGGCTCATGTGGCTTAAAGTTCACCGACCGGGTGCCTTATCTTATGTAGGGGAATACAATAGGGATCTGCACGCATGAAACACCGAAATCATACCGAAAACAGGGGGCGAGCCCTCCTCCTCATTGCACTCGCGCTGCGATTCAACATCGAAAGTCACAACGAAACTTCGTTTCCCACTTTGTATATGAAAGGGGGTAGATTTGAGCAATCTGCCGCGTCCGTTCACCATGTTACATGTTCACGAGTAGTCATAACACTTCCCCATCAAGGGCATGGGCTTCTCATATTCACGGCCACATACTGCGGGGAGGATCGTGAAGCCCTTCACTACAAGGTTCCCGGCTTAGGGTTTAAACTCACTTGGAAGCCCCCCTGAACTCTAAGCCTTGGCGCTGCCAAAAGACAAACCTGATCCTAAACCGCTAAGCGCAGCCTGTGCCGGGGTCACAACGACGTTGGGCGTCTCGGCTTTTGTTTCCTGCGCCACTTCGTCGAGGTGCTTCGCAACTAGGCTTTACGGTACAGGGCGTATGGCAGGGCTCTACGTAATAGAAAACCCAAACCCCCAGAAAAACCCTAAACCCTGACCCCTACACGTTTCAACCGACATGTGGTCTTTTTGTTAAAGGTAACCTGTGGAATCTGTTGTTTGGGTGCAGGTTTCAGGGTTTGGGGTTTAGAGCTCAGGGTTCAGGGGTTGGCTCAGGGTTGGGGTTGAGGGCTTAGGGCTTAGGGTCTTTGTGGGGTGGGGATTAGGTCTTGGCGTTCGGGTTTGGGATCTATCGATCTGACACGGGTCCTCCTACTCTCTGCACCCCCCTAAACCCTAAACCCCAAACCCTAAACCGTTAAAGGACATGAAACTTCGAAGTATCTCCTAGGTCCCTGAGCAGATCCTTTACAATAAGGGTACGTGCACTTTTCCTACTATTCGTCGGCTTAATTCATAAAGGGGACCTTAAAACAAAAAAAGAAAAACATTACTCATAAACCTAATCCCTAAACCTACATAGATCCCGTTAAGGAAACCTTCAAGGAACCCTTGATTATCTTACGCCCCCCAATAAACCACAGAAACAAAAGGTTAAAAGTTCCGATTCCTACTAAACCATAAGAGCCCAACACTAGGATGCCCAGTAACCTAGGAATAAAAAGAAGCCTCCACGCTTAATCCCTCACAATCTTAACCCGGAATCGTCGAAAGCCAACACCCTGAGCCCAAAACCTCCTTAAGCCCTGTTAACGGTTTAGGGTTTAGGGTTTAGGGTAACCCTGAACCCACCCTTGCCTGTGCAGTTGGCTCGGCCTCGAGCGATAGCCGCTTGGAAGACTATGCTTGCGGTTGTGCGGTTGTGCGGTTTAGGGGTTCGGGTTTTAGGGTTTGTAGGGTGTAGGGGTTTTAGGGGTTTAGGGTTGGGGAGTTTAGGGTTTAGGAGTTAAGGGCTTGAGGATTTGAGGGGTGAACGGTTTCTCGAGTTGAAGGATCTAAGGTTTGGAATCAGTCAGGGTTGAAAGTTTGCAAGTCTACGGTTCGTAGATATCCAACGGTTCGATGGCGCTGTAGAGCACGAGAGACCCAACGGATACCATGTCACTGCAATTCGGGAGGTTTCGGGGGATATGCGGCCCGGGGCCCTGAATCTGCTGAGCAGGGACCCCTAGACCATTTTAGGGTTTAGGGTTTAGGGTCCCTAAACCCTAAACCCTAAAACCCTAAACATCCACCTCAGACCCTAAACACTTGTAAACCCTTACAGAAACCAATCCCTTCTATACCCTTATGAACCCTTCTAACCCCCATCTGAACCCTTCGAAACACTTATAAACCACTATAGATCTTGCGAAGCTGTCGATTTCAGGGTTTGGGGAGAAGCGCGGCTTCGGTCCCAAAGCTACGAACTCGATACGTATCAGGGCAAAAGGGTGTCCCCACAGATCAAAATGTCTAAATAGCAGCTTGCTACCCATGCAGTACCTACTCGTCGGGTATCAGGGGGAACTAAAGGAGAATCTTTTTGGTTATATAGCGGTTGTATGATAGGGACTATATGCCAAAAAGGTTCAAGGTTACCTACTCTACTACTAGGAATATGTAATCCAGAAACTCACGATTTAGGCAGCTGTAGCCCTCGGGTATGCTACGTAGACAATCTCGCTAGACGCTGGGGCATGTACGTAGACTCGCACCCATGGCAGTCCCTGCTCCAGGCCCTCCCCCCCCAAAGATCGGCGAGTCTTAGGAAGCATCCAGGAACGACCTCGAACAGCCCGAACAAAGCCAGACTGTAGAGCCCGAAGCTCGGACACCCCAGCTTCAAACCCGAATCAACCATCCTGCAACCAGCCCCTAAACCCCAAAACCCATAGGGCCCAAGGCATCAAAGTCCCGACCTTGAATGTCCTAGACGTGGAATCGGAACCGCAAGGATCTTACAGTGTAGTTCATTTTTGTTTATTTTTAGGGTGGTGGGGGGTTGGGAGCTTGTTATGGGGAGGGTTTTGGGGGCATCTTAGATGGTGCTGATACTGCTGGCGGAATGGTGCGGCCTGATAATATTGGGCCTGTCCTACCATATGTATAGTCACAGTCCCTTTTCAGGATCCTTAAGGCACCGATGGGTGCCGTACTATATTTGGGACCTACGGAGGGACCCTAATGTCGAGAACCACCCAGAGCTGTGGATACATGGGCTCTCAATGAACAATTCCAGCAGTTCTACCCGAACCCGAGCTCGCTCTCTCTCTCTCTCTCTCTCTTTCTCTCTCTCTCTCTCTCTTTCTCTCTCTCTCTCTCTCTCTCTGTCTCTCTCTGTGTCTCCCTAAACCCTAAACCCCTAAACCTTATACCCTAAACCCTATTATTAAAGTCCAAAGCGATGCATGCCTTCACATCCGGCTTGGACTCAGCAGAGGCACCTGAGCTTTCAGGATGATTCATGATGCAGCATGTGCGAATGTCAATAGCCGAAGGTTAGAAGAGGTTCTGAGGGTTAGGGTTTCGGGTTTAGGGTTTGGTGGTTTTGGGGTTCAAGGTTTAGGACCTTAATAGTTAAACGTTCTGAGGGCTATTGATCACAACACATAACATAAACATTGGGGACTGTTGTCTATTGCTTTTTTGTCGTGGTCACCCTCTGCTTGACTCCAAAGGTAAGCTTCGCACATACACCACCTGACAACAACCGTTAACCCCTAAACCCCTAGGCCCCTAAACACCAAACCGGAAACCCTATACTACACGCGAAACCCCCAAACCCCTGAACCTCGACCCGAAGAGGAACACAGAACAAATGCTTACCGGGTTTAGGGTACAGGGTTTAGGCTTTGAAGGTTAGGCTAGGGTTTGGGGTTGATGGACTATGCAAAGCTCACAGACAACCTCCAGTTCGAACAACTCCCTCCCTGATCAACAAGCAGACGACATACAAGCAACCTCCAAACCCTGAAGACCCTAAACCCTAAACCCACAGACCCCAAGCTCTACCGGCTCCACAGCTACTGTGATTTCCGTTTGCTGGATCTTGGTAAGGTTTCAGCCTGAGAACGTTCAGAAAGAGCAAAGTAGCAGTATCAAGAAACGACATCATTTTAACAACAAGCAAAAAGCCATAACCACACGGCGAGAGAGAGAGAGAGAGAGAGAGGCACCGACCCACATCGACAACACTCCTAATCACAACGTAACAACAGGGACGAAGATTCATAAAGTTTCATATACAGTATATGCGATTAATGACAATGGTGGACGGGACCCACAGCCTAGGCACGAAACACAAATATCGGCATCTACGCCATTTCAACCCTTTAAATTGGCAGCCAGAGGCACCGCAACCCATGGTGAAGAAATCTGGTTGGGGCACGAGGCGCAAACTTAAACGTGCGAGTTGTCGAGCTGACAGATGCTGCGGCACAATTTAAAGGTTCAGGGCGCTCGGAGTTTAGGGCGTTTGTCTGTGAGGTTTTAGGGTTTAGGCTCTTTAGGTTTTTAATACCTACAGCTTTAGAGCTACATATAATTGCTTCTACGCGTGGGTCTCCTTCTGTGGGCTGTTTCTTCGGTAGCAATTCACATAATGCGTCTGCTGCCAAGGTTTCAGGTTTAGGACCCCTAAACTTGAAGGTTTAAGGTTTAGGCTCTACGGCCCCTGACTTTGAAGGTTTAAGGTTTAAGGTTTGTTTTGTTGAACTCCTTTTCCCCAGAGATAGCAGTCTGCACTCTAAAACCTTAAGGTTTAGGGTTAAGGTTTAGGGTTGTGGGTAATTAGAGTAAGCTGCCAGCCAAACAGATCGGGTTGGGGTCCGCGAAACTCTAAACGTCCTCCTGCCTTTGCAGTGCTTTCTCAATTGATTCACATGTCATTCGGGTTTAGGGTGAAAGAAACTCAAAGGGGAAAAGGAGGGACCCTTAATGGGAACCCTTTTCCTATTATGGGCTATATAATGGGTATATAATAGCTATATTAAGGATATATACCTGGGGGTCCTTATTAAGGATCCCTCCTTTTACCCTTGGAGAAACCCCCTGTGGAAACCACCATAACCCTAAGCCCTACACCGAAACTGTCTGCCCTAACATGTTGCAGCCGCCCAAGTCCCCCCTAAGACCGACCGAAGAAAGAAACCTAAGCCCCAGGAGCCATACGCTTAACTTAAGAGACCTACCTGTCGGGTAGCATGGGGAACTAAAGGTTAACCTTCTTGGCTGTATAGGGATTATGTAGGGACTATACTACCCAAACAAGGTTAAATGTTACGTACTCTACTACTAAGGAGAAGCCGGAACCCTTAAAGGAACCGTTCCATGGACCCTTCAAGGAACCATCTCGTCTTCAACCACAGCACAGGCTCTGCCCATCTTCAACCCATAATCAACCCAAAAGCCCCAAAACCATAATCAAACCCTAAAGAGCCAAACCCTAAACCCCTAAACACAGAAGCCAAGAAGATCCACCGGTCCCGCCTGAAAAATTTCGTGCAAACGAAGAGTCGTCCTGCAAACTCGTCGCCTGAAGCGAGCTCTCTGGAGGAATGTCTGGGTAGGGCCAAGGATGGAAATCCCTAAAGTGACGAATCCTCTGCGCCAAACCTAACCCTAAGCCTGATACCCTAAACCCTAAACCGGCCTAAACCCATTACACCTTCAACCTTACCGTGAAACCCTCCTAAACCCTAAACCCTAAGACTGAGCCCTGAATGCCCAAGCCCTATAGTAGAGCTCCACCCTGGCATGTCCTTGAACCCTTCGTCCGAAGGCCCTAAGAAGGCTTTGTAGGGTCGACCTTAACCTACCAAACCCCAATTTTTTAGCAGGTTCTTGCTATGAACCCTAATTATGGAACTTATGTATCGTTTAGCAGGTTCTTGTTATGAGCCCTAATATGGGATTTATAGGGACCCTACACAAAACGTAAGTTTTGGTAGGTCAAGGGTGGGGATTATAATAAGCCCTCATCTGCCCCGGCAAGTTACCCAGCTGCTCCAGAAGCGTCCCTGCATAGCGACCACCTCAGAAGTGAGCTTCAAGCTTGCCCCAGGGGCTTTTAACATTAGGAAAAGGTTCGGGGAGGGTATACTAACTATATATACTATAATGCGGAGGCGTGAGGAATAGTATGCGCAATTCTGCACGCTTCTGCATTTACGTGGCGCTGTGGTGAATGAGCTGACCTTCTATCACCGTAAGGGTCCATGTACTCATATAGTATATACATTGGCCTTAATGTGGTCCCTATATAGGTACTTTGGGGCTCATGTATCTCTATATGGGTACATAGACCCTTAGGGTCATGGGTTCCGGCCATGGGATTTCAGGACACGGGCCAAAAACGAATTTCCATAAGCACCCCAAACCGTCAAAACCCGTCTAACGCCCCCGCCCCTCCCTAAACCCCAATACATCCCCCCGAAACTCGCGCTGGTTTTGGGGGTCCGGGTGCATGCTGTTATGCTCTCGCCCTCTGTTCAGTTCTCCTTGCAGAGAGCCGACATGCATCATCTGGAGGTCCAGCTAAGATCACTTGGACCTGCGGATGTCGCTCCCCCAAAGCAGATTCGGGGCTTGCAGGCTTTTGGGTTCAGGGCCCTTTCTCTGCTGTAGGGTGGGTTCTAGCAGGGGGATTGTGCAAGGTCACAGACTAAGCATGGTCACTTAAGGCCGATGGGGAGCAAGGACGGCAGACCGCAGCTCTACTTTCAAGCCTTTGCTCAGCTCTCTGGCTTTGAGTTTCGCATGCTTGTGCCTATGGAAACATCGGACATGACAGGACATGACTTGCAGAGCAAAGCTGTCCATGATGGCAACAGACAGTGGTGTCTGGCTAAGGCAGGGCAACACTATCCCTAGAGCGCTTCTAAAATAGATCTAAGTTTGAGCAACACTCTCGCAGCTCCACAGATCAGGCTATAACCCTAAACCCCTAAACCCTAAGCCCCCGAACCCAAGAGTAAACGCGAGAGAGTCAGGTTGAGTTGTTGCTGATTGGAGCTTCACGCTGTTAGGTAGGTTGTCCTGACCCCTATCTCAACCAAGGGTTTAGGGTTTAGGGTTGAGCGTTTAGGGTTTAGGTAAGTTGTCCTGCCCCCTGGGCCCTTCAGCTCGCCCACAGCTTATGATGACTCTCGTTAAGATGGTCGAACGTATCTTTTGTACATTAACTACTGATACGTTTTGGCAATAAGATGACCTAACACATATTATGTACATTACCCTCTCTCTCTCTCTATACCTATATATATATATATATATATATGAGAACATATATATACATATATATAGATATGGATGTGTGTGTGTGTGTAAAAATTACGTACTGATTGGTTGATTGACTGATTGGTTGCTTAATTGATTGACTGATTGATTGACTGATTGATTGATGGATTGAGCGATTGGTTGATTGATTGTAGCCGGGCATCTTTCTTAAAATTTTGGGTTGTTGGATCCACACGTATACCCTAAATAATATGTTTATTGCAGGGGTTACAGACCTGAACACAACAAGTGTTTAGGGTTTAGAGTTTAGGGACCGGATCCACAGATAGACGGGCCCAAAGATCATTGGTAACAGCAGGGCATATCGAATCTCTGAGGACGGGAGGCTGTAGGCAAGCGGTTCCACAAGTAATATTAAT